CCATTGTATGGGAACATGACAGCACGTCCAGTTTAGTTGTTACGACCTCCCCGGCCATGCTTCCGGACGAGTCGTGCTGCGGCGATGATTAGCAGATAAGTAGACTGCAGGTCGTTGATTGGCCAGGGAGCCACGTCACGCAGCGACTGTCTACAAATCACGAGTCCACCATTTATTGTCTAACGATGAATACATGAACCAGTTTTTCTGCATCATTTTTGGACAAGATGTTTCTAATTTTAGTGATATTACCGCAGGTGAAGTTAATATTTATGACGCTATCTCCAGAACTTGGACAATACATAAATTATTGTCACACATCAAACAAAAAAAATCCAACAAAGTTAAGTCAGGTCCTCTGGACGGTTTCTTTATGTTGAAACGTTTCATCTGCCTGAACATTGTTGGATTTTTTTACCTGGATTATTGCGCATGAACTTTGATGTTTTGAACCACTTTGGCCATGGCTGCCTCAGAGGACTCGTTGGAGGAGAGGGCGGACTCCAGAAACCATCTGAGCACCATCAAACTGGTTGTGAAGGTGCTGTTTATAAGCCTGGGTTTGTTGTGGCTCCTCGGACTGAAGGACTTTTGGAAGAAAGACGAAATGTTTCAACAAACAGAACCCGTCCAGAGGACCTGACTTAACTTTGTTGGATTTTTCTACCTGGATTATTGAGCATGAACTTTGATGTTTATTGTCACGTTATAACTTTTTAGCCTCGTCTCCATTTAGTCTCCACTACAACCGATGTGCGCCATTGCACCAGAATGCGTTGTGCTGGTAAAATAATTGTGACGCCCTAACTGCCCCACATTAGTCCGAGACGAGGGACAAAAGAGTCTCGCAGCAAAGTGGACAAGACCAGTTGTGTTACATTTCAAGAAATATGTAGCAACCTTTCTTCTCTGTAAGGACTTGTGTGCAGCATCAGCAGATGCCACATTTGATGTCTCATTCAGGAAGGAAATGCAGAATTATTTAAAGTGTTGCACACTATTTTCTTGGAAAAGTGCAAAAAATATTCACGGTTGCACCTGTTTTTTTTTTGTT